TCCACTGTCTGGTGATGGTAATTCTTGTTTTTTTTTATTTCTTTCTATGCCTCCACAAAGCAACAGAATAATTAGTATAGATTGTTGACTTGGCCTCTAAATGTACCAGATCTGAATCTAATCAAGCACCTGTAATATGTCATTGATAAAAAGAGTAATCTATGGAGGTCACACCGTTATTACACAACCGATAAAACCTGCTGCTAACATTTTGTTGCAAGAAACCTTAAGACACCTTAAGGAGTCTATTAGAACATAGGCTTTGACCTGTTAGGGCTGCTTTAAAACAGACACACCAGGAGGAATGTGGTCATAGTGTGATGCCTGATATGTGAAAGTTAAGTTGTACCTCTTTAAAACCTTTAATTTAATACCCACCGGATTTCTCAAGTATTTGTATTTTTCAAATTATAAATAGGAAGTTCCCAGGTGCAGCATTTGATGACAGTCCTGATCAGTGAACACTCTCGACTTTACCCTAATGAGGACCACAAAACTGGGGACAAATGTCTTCCACTTCGACAAGACCTTAAACGATCCAGAGTAGAATGGGTTTCACAAGAAGAACCTGACCCAACGAATCACACAAGTATGAACTCTACAAACCTCAAAGAAATCCACACACCATCAACTGCTTCAATGGAAAATGAGCTGCCTTTAAGTTCTGTTGCATCCAAAAAGGAGGAAAACAGTCCAATTAAAGGCGATGATATAAAGAAACAAGATGAAAAAGCAAACTTCAAAACTGAAGGAGAAAGTGAAATTGCTGTTAGTCCTAGCAAACAGGCCAAAGCTCTACCTTCATGGAGGTGCTCCTTCAAGGGCAGTGTAGCCTCTGGAGGGCCAAAGGGGAAAATGGGAGGCTCAGCGGGGGATGTGTCTGCATCTGGTGGAAGCAACTGGCTGATGAATGGCCTGTCGTCCCTCAGAGCGCACAGACGCACGACCTCATCAGGTGAAAGAGTGAAAGACTCTACGCTGTCTCTAAAGGATTCAACTCATTCTCTTAAAGAAACCAATGTTCTACTCAAGGACATGCATAGAGACTATGACCTAGAATCCCCTCAAACAGCCCAGTCTCAGAGAGCCTTTAATAAATCCCACAGGCTGTCTGCCTACGACAATGTAGCTCCTTCCAGCCTAAGCCTGCCTGCTGACACTTCGTCTATCTGGACACCATTTGAGATCTCTTTATCAGATACAGAAGGAAGCAATAAGGCAACAAAGGTTGAACAGGATGAAGAGAGAACGACGGAGAGTGGAAATGGAACAAATTATGAAGATGTCACAGGAACGAGTGAAGAAAGCACTAACAAGTTCACTCAACTGAAGCAGGAACTGAAGAAACAGAAGTTGAACTATGAAACCCGCATTCGCAAGTAAGTCTAATCAATGCATATTTCGTTACTCAAGTAGCTAATTAAAACTGCATTGTTACTAATGTATATAATCTTCCTGTCTCCATTGAGACTGGAGGAGTCCTGTTTAAAATACCAGTTCCAGGTAAACCGCCTTGAGGAGGAGCTGGACCAGGAGAGGAAGAAGTTTCAAATGTTGGAGATCCGACTCAGGAATTCACAGCGGGCACATCAGGATGCAGAAAACCGAAACACTGTCCTCCAGAGGGAAATGGAGGAATTCTTCAAGACGCTTGGAGATCTAACAACAGGAACACGGACCAACTAGACCCGACCAAACTGCCTTTATCTGGTCCTAGAGGCGCTGGTTCACTAGGAGGACCATCAAGTCCCAAAGCTTTTTTGAAAACATACTGTATCTCTGGTGCAATGCAGATAGCCATAATTTCCACTTAAGTGTGGCTGTCCCGTTCCTACGGTGACCAGTACTGGTGCCAAACAAGAACTCCTCTGGACCAAGAACTTCTTATTTTGCAACTCCATAAGATCTATCACAACTAATACATTGTAAAACAATGTCTAAACATCAAGGAATCCTAAAGTGTTGTAGCATTCCCATCCATACGATTTTAAAGTTCTGTTTGTTATTTATTTAAACTGAAAAAAGAATGTAAGACTTTACTAGCTGTCTGAGTTGGCCAGTTTGAGATTTTAAGGCAAAATGTATTAAACTAACGATCATTCTATTTGCAATGCTGGCCAAACCCTAAGAAGAGTGCTGCATCAACTGAAATGAACTGAATTGCATAATTTCTTCTTCCAAAGGTACCTGCACTAATTTGAGAGTTTCTGTGATACAGTTATAGAACTCTTTTAAAATGTACATATGCATCTCAATAAATTAGAATACCATCAAAAAGCATATATTTCACTGATTCATACTATAACTTTACTATACACTGATAAATGCATTTCAAGAGTTTTTTTCTGGTGTTTTTATAATGTTTTATAGCTAATGCAAATTAACATTTGGATTTTTCAGGTTTTAATATTACATATGACCCAATACTTGTAATATCAAAATTACAGCTTAGTGAAAACTGTCAGTTACCACAGAGTACATGACACAATCTAAGTATAGTCCTCCCCCTTGCATGAGTTACTTCTCATGGCTGTGTTTATCCATTTTTTATTTTTTTTTTTTGCATCATTTTTTACTGCACTCGTTCCTTCTACTTAATATCCCATTACTAATGAACAAAATGGCCATTTTTGTATAAAATCTTTTAGAAAAACTTAGGATTTGTTTAGGTTTACATCATCACCTAGATGAACAGAAATAAAGGCTTTAAATGTCTCTTTTTACATAATTTAAGCATACTCATGGGTTTCAGATTTAGAACAAATTACTCAAACAACTTTTTAAAGATAATCTAATTTATTGAGATGGTTAAACTATAACACTGGAAGTGTGGGACTTGTGAAATAAAATCAGAAGACTCAGGAAACCTATCAAAACCTAGAAAGTGCAATGAACATATACAGTTAAAAGCTGGAGCCATTGGAAATTTGAGCCAGCAAACATCTAAAGCTCACCATGGCACGTTAGAAAATAAGTTTCTGATCCTAAGAAAACACACATCTACCACAAAATAGTAGATCATCAATTAATAAATTATACCACATAATTCTGATAAACAAAGTTCATATGAATATCTCTGATTGTGATGTTAAATACATATACTATATGTCCGCTAGCTTGAAATAAATAATGGGAAACAAAAGGTTTTTTTTTGTATTGATTGAATACAATTGAATTGAATTTTTTTTTTTTTTTTTGGATTTAAAAATTACAATGTCCGAGTGGCTGATAGATTGAAGGTAGATATGGAGGTAAGGAGGATGTGAGAATTATTTAACTAAGTAAGGGCACTTAAATTAAATACTGCATTAGACACTTTGTTAATCTATGTCTAATAGCATACAGACAGAGATACATTTAAGAAGCAGGCTCTCAGGGCTTCAGTATGGTACCTCACTCCAGTCACAGGAAACATTTCCAGATATGGACAAACTTGTTGGCGTTAACAACCGAAACTAAAATGTGTCTTTCAGCAACCAAACAGTTAACATAAAACATTTTAGAAAAATCAGATCTTTGAGTGTCATTTATTTTCTACTAGTGAGCAATAATTTCTAACAATATCAAAGCAGGTGCATTCATAGGTTCCCTTAGCAATGCTTCTTACACACGTCATAACTAAACTTTTTTTCCCCTTATCTTTTTAAATACTGTGCTTTTTTTTAAGCTGTTCAGCAACAACACAATACCGGAGTAAACCTGTTCTGTCAACAGACTTAGAACAATTGGAAAACCAAACACTTTAGATCATAATGAGTTCTATCCCATTAATCTGTATAGATTGTGCAAAGAAAGTAGAGTAGCAATATTTGCGTACTTGTACTCAGAGGTTGGATTTTGTAACATTTCGATTCTAGAGTAGGGCTGAAACAATCGGATTAATTGATTACTGAAATAATCGTCAACTAATTCAGGAATTGATTGTTAATTGGAATATTGAGACTAAAACGTTGCAATAGCTGACAGAGCAATCCAAACTTACCAAAAATAATTATATACTTTTTGCAGATAAAAAAAAAAGTCAATATACTCTCTCCAGAAATCTTCAAGTGAAAAAGTTTTAGTTTCACTTGGTTTAATTCTATAAAAACCTTCTTTAATGAAACTTTGGCTATCCGATTATTAATCAATTCATCGAAAAAATTATTGACAAATTGGTTTTCATAATAATCATTAGTTGCAGCCCTAGACTAGAGGTTTAGTTAGTCCAGTTTTTAAAATTGTCCATCCATGATTATGGTACTGCAAAAATAGATGCATTTATTTTGCAGCTTAAGGTCTTCACTGTAGTGCCAATACATGTAGCTGATGCTACAGCAGTCCCCTGATCTTTCTAAGTCAACATTTTTTCTCAGAAGCATTCACCTTTCCCTCCCATCCAACCAAGGATTATCTACAAATGAAACTGCATCTGCAAACGACAAACAATGAGGTTTGTTTATAATGTTTTATAGTAAAAAAAATAAAACCCTGCTAATAGATCAGACAGATCTGTATAAAGAATTATATTAACTTGGACACATCAAGATCTGTTTTCTACAAGAAAACGTATTAACAGCTTAAAAATAAGATCATTCATTTATAGTTTCAGATAAAGAGTGCTAAAAAACGCCATCTGAGAGAACCAATACTTTCCTTAAAAAGTCAACAAATACGCAAAAATATACGCAAAAGGATTTAGCAGTCATAACGTTATGGTTTTTGACTGCAATGGCGAGTAGAAAAAAAAAACAGAATAATGTACACTCAAACCCCTTTCATTACATACATCACAGTTTCACATCAAAACATCTTCGCGTTTTGTTTTTTTCTTGCAGCAAAAATACAGTAATCATTAAACATTTTCAAAACACAATTATTACAGCAGTATAGGTAAAAAGGGGACAGAGAGCAAACTGTACAATAACTGCTAACCTCTACAAACTACCATGAAGTTCCCTTTGTCTAAACAATCTCCCAACAAACACACACACACAATGATGAGGAAAGGTATTGTTTTGAACGTATACAGTAGATGTGTGCTTGGGTAGTTATCTACAGCAGGCCAGCGCACTGAGAGAGGTGTGACTGTCCAAGCTGCTGTCTGTCTCTGAGCCCACAGCGGGGTCACTGCTGGGATCGGTCGGCTCCGTGGACATGGAGGAGACATCGTTGGCTGAGGATGAGGAGGAGGAGGAGGAGGAGGCGGACGTGGGCTGAGGAGGACTGTCGATCACTGCTGCACCTGTGCTGCGAAAAACAGGCAAACGCATAAGTTTCAGTGAAATATACAGAGCACCACCATTTCCTGATGATCTCAGACTTTTCATGTGGACCACATCAGCTAAAATGTAACCTTGTATTGTTAAAAAAAATTATTGAATATAAAGAAAAACTTGACTTCAAATTTTCGCCATTTCTTAATTTACACAACCAATCCCAAGATGTAAACTTAAATTTTAGATGCTCATTTCATCAGAAAGGATACAAAACTTTTAAAATTACATTATTTATAATTACTGTACCATAAGTTGATAATTTAAACAAAAAGTACAAACAAAAAAACTGTTCATTCATAGAAAATTGTAAAAAAAAAAATTGCATTAAGCAATGCTCAGCTACTGCAGTGCATGTCAACATTCAGAAGATTTCTGCAGAGCTGCATATTTGTCCTTCATATGGTTTAAAGACACTAATAGAGAATAAAGACACAACATAATCTTGGTGGTGATTAGTTCTCTCTTTTTAGACTGCTCTAAGAAGTGTGGTTTCCTTGTCTTTAAAGTTTTGTTCCGGTCTTCAGCCACCTTCTTTAATTTGGGCAGGATTAAAACCAATTCAGATTAAATTTCATTATTCCTTTGATCTGATCTTATGACATAACGAGAGAAGATGATAAACCTTTGCTAAAAAATTGTTTCAACGAGGAGAAAATAGCTAAATGGGTATTTTATAGGGAATAACAGATTATGTGAGGAAAAAACTCTAAAAACAAAAATAGATAAAAGAGATTTAGAAATGCAGATATAAAATAAAGCAACCCCAAAAGGGATTTGTTTCAGTGCTTGCCTTCAGTATAATACAAGAGGAGAAAGAAATTTGTAATAGTAAAAGTATAGGAAAGGATGTCAAACTGTGGCTCTTTGTCTCCAAGTCTCAAGACTTATGCTGTTAAACACATCTAGGCAGGATTTTAGTAATAATAAAAGTTTTTTGTAAGTCTGCCAAATAGCTAAATAAAGGTTTGACCTAGAGAAAAATACAAGTTTGATCATTCTTGATTATATGTTATTATATGTCATTTGTAATATTCTGTTTACCTTTGGGTTGCACACCACATTGTTATTGATCTGGCATAGTTTCAAAATAAATTTATATTTCCCCCATCATAACTAGAACCTAAGTTCTAGTGATTACTCACCTAGAGCGGTTGGTTGACCTCTAATTACTCCATTCTTGGTCCGTTCCTCCCATTCAATAACTTCCTTATAAATTAGTTCTGAAAAAAACAAAAGAAAAAGAGCAGCAAAAGGTCAAGTGAGGCTGAGAAGATTAGGGGGAATTGTTGATGCATTTTCAGGACCATCCGATCTTTAGAGTTAGGTTGGGGTGTATAACATACTGCACATCCCAAACCCCAATACCTTTCTAATTTGGACTGGGTAAGCTGATGTGTGACCCTTCTAAAAATGAGTGAGGGGTGATTATCACCTGACGGGAATTGAGATGAGCTCATCTTGCTGCACAACTGAAACTGATATTAAATCATTTTCCTATGCTGCGAAGACTTCCTAACAGCAGAAAAACAAACACTTTAAAATTATCTTTAAATATAAAACACGTACAGGTGTGTAAAAAATAAGTGATCCAGTCTTTTAAGTTGTGATTCTTTTTTATACCTACAGTCCCGTCCAGAGGGTTTTGAACCCCCCTAAACTTTGTCACATTTTTTTTTCCAAATGAAAAAACACAAGCTTCTGTGCATTTTATTAGAAAGAAACAAAGAAACAAAAGTAGAGCTTGATTACAGAAAGGATACAAGCTGACAAGGGTGGCAGGTATCTATGTTTAGCCTCTTTACACTAACAACACAAATCTAGTAAAACCAATTTCATTCAAGAGTAATAGAATTTGTAAAAATTTATTAAAAAAAAAAAAAAAAAGTCAGCCAGTATGTCATTTGACTTTGGTATAATTAAACCATTTCTGGGGAGAACACAGAGCTTTGTTAGAAAATATCACAGAATAAACTGTATCATTAAAATCAAACAACATAGACCGTATTCATATAGGCCATGTGAGCAGCTACCCAGGGTGACAGGCTGTACAGTGTAAGAAAATATATCGTGAGCTGTGTACTTTTAAGACCCTTTTTTAAACCCTCATCAAACAATTTTGGGCTGGAAAAAAATTGTACAGAGTATTCCCAGCCTAAGATGAAGTTGGTATTTAACTGTTAGAGGAGCATTATTCAGAGAAGAAGCCAAGTCGCCAATGATAACTAGAGGAGCTACAGAGATTCACAGCTCGGGTGGGAGAACTAGTCAACATGACAACTATTAGCTGTACTCTTAACAAAATCTGTGTTTTATTGACTAGTGGAATGATGTTAAAAGAAAGACATAAAAGGTCCTATTAAACGGTTATAATAAGGTTCTCTGAGCTGACCTAACAATACCTATTAAACATTCTCTAACACAGGGGTGCTTTTATTCTGCATTGACAGGGAAGCTGGTCACAGTTGATGGGGAAATTGTTGGAGCTGAATATAAGAAAAAACCTTGAGGAAAATCTGCTAAAGGCTGGAAACCCCAAGATCTTAGAGATACTTAGTCAAAATCCAAACCAAAATCCAGATGGAAAACTTGCACAATATTTGATCATTTAGACTTAGACAACATTTATCCTTTTGTATACACAGAGTGTATAAAAATTTCAATTTCATTTTGTACAGCTTTCATGACAGTTCCATTTCTTAAAGTGCAGCAGTGATCAAATGTAAAGTGTGGGAGAAAAAAACATGCTACAAAAAAAAAAAAACGCATTGATATGGGTTATAATGCACTCTCTCTAAAGTCTGACAGAGCCTCATGCGCTAATTTTATCATAGCAAAGGTGCTTCTACTCAACTGATTCACATACAATGGAAAATTGTTGGTCTAATACCAAAAACCCTAAATCAATACAATTTAAGGCTGCAGGTGCAATCCAATTTGACAAAAGGTCAAGTGGTATGAAAAGTTTTGGATAGCATTCTGTTTTTCAAAGACAATCACTTAGGGCAGACCTTGATGTGTATTTATTTGTGTTTCAAAGTGAGTCACCCGAGAAGTGAATGTTGTAATTGCAGAGCTAGGAAGCCAAGCAGGCTGTCTAACCTTTCCACTCCTCGACAGTATGATCTCTTTCATCCAGTGTCCTGTCAGGGATCTTTGGAGGAGGCTGAAAAAGACAAAACAAAAGAATGACACCCTGGTATAGCAAGTAAAACTTCCACCGTCCCAATCCATTTGATGCAAGACTTAGACTTAGATTTTATTTGTCATTTTGTGTACACAAGTGTAAAACAAAAAGAAATTTCGTTTGGAACAGCTCACTGGACAATTTCATCTTTTTTTAAAAGTGCAGCCTTGAAAAATAGTAAAAAATAATAAATATATAAAAACAGTAATATAAATAAACAATATAAATAAATAATATAATTAATAGAAATAAAATATAAAGTAAACACTTGTGAATTATCTTCAGCCATTGGTCCACTTACCGCCTCCACTTCAGCAGGATCATACCAAACATTAATATACGGGTGCTGCAAGGCTTCATCTACAGAGATACGCTTTGATGCATCAATGACCAACATCTTGGATAACAGGTCTCTAGCTTGGCTTGCTGTGAGAATGTATAACAAACAGGTAAAGGTACATTGGTATTAATCACAATAACAATGATAAAACACAGAATTGTGGTTTTATCTTTCAGAGGATGATATAAACACCTTTTAGTTTGTTGTGGTCTGAGTCAGCAGGGAACAAAACATCTGGAAAGAGTTTCTCAAAGCTGTATCCTGCGTACCGTGGTCTATTCTCCACATACGTTCTCACTGAGTGGTTCAGCTTCATTAGAAAATCCTGAGATGGAGTACCTAGCTGCTCAATCACCTTGTTCCACTGGTCGATATCTGAAGTGGAAATGTTAAAGGAAAGGACCTCACACAAACACAAGCTGATATTGTATCTCTCCAGAAGGGCAGCCTGACATTTAACTTAGCTTTGAGATTCACACATATGCAGCTCTCCTTGAGTTTATATAAACAAACACACACACAAACACACACACACAGTTTGTACACCCACCCCACGCACAGCACAAGGTTAACAGTAATGATTAACAGCTTTTTAATTTTAATTTCTAAAACCAAAGCAGTATGCAATATGACTTTGGCTCTAAAATACAAAAAGAGCAACCAAAAAACAACAACAAAAAAACTAAAACATGGCAGCATGCCTCATACTGTATCTGGGGGATATTGTTGGAAAAACACTTCGTCCCAATTCAGCAAAAGTCTAAAATACTGGCATAAAAAACTCAAACCAGTACTGAATGATTTTTTTTTTGTACGAATGCTATAAATTATTGAAATATAAAATTATCAATAAGGATATAACCTATAGATCCACATTCTTTTCTTTTTTAACAATAACATAATTTCCCTAGTCATTTTTAATGAGCTCTAGTAAACTTTAAGTTTACTAAACTTAAAGTAAACTTTAAGTTACATGTAGGCTTTAAAGGCTGCTAGAGTCCATCCAAACGGCCAAACATGCAATTGATTTCCATAGCGTAAAATAATATCGTTACAAATATTGCATCCTCAGTCCATTAATGACTGTAATATTGCACATGCTGATAAAAGATAAACAGGAAAAGCTTTAAAAGCCTTCCAACACCTTGGCTTATTAACCCAGAAATTCCTTTTAAACTTAAAATAGATTACTAAAGACATGATTATGATCCAGTGATTAATTTACTTGTATTAAAAATTTTTAATAACAGTTACTTTTTTTTTAATTGCATGATTTAAAGAAATCACTTAAAGTTGATTGTATACATTACCCACTCTGGTGAGAAGCTGAGCTTGTGGAATCAATCAATCAATATATCAAGATGTAGGAAGATTTGTCATCTTCCAACATTGTTCGACTTTAAAAAACCTGTCTTGCACAGATGTTGTTCTGCATGCCTTTTTCTGCAAAGCAGGGTTGTAAGTTTCTTGAAACAGGTTTCTTCCAGAAGAAACTAAACCCTGCCGCAAATCATGCCATATCACACTTTTATAAAGCGCAATGTAAAATAAAAGCATTAGATTTCCAGAAGGAACCAAATGAGACCTCGCTTTTAACTCACTACTTTGTCCTTTTTAACAATTGGACCAAAACGTCAACTTTTTCAGCTTATTCCTTTGTATTGAGTGTTCTAGCTTTGTTTTGTTTCTCTTAAGAAAAAGTAGTTTTTTCATTTAAGACTGAATCGACCACTAATTTCTTCATTTATAGATATTAAACAATACTGGGCCTAAAGTTTGTTTGACTCAAACCTGCAGCTAAATTTTATACCTCAGAAAGGACAAAACTTTTCTTTTTTTTTGGTTAATATTTTTTTTCTCATTTTTAAAATCATATCTTCAAAATAAGCGATACAGAATAACAGATAACTTGTATAAAATGAAAGGTTACCAATTTATTTTTATTGTGTGGAGCTATATTAAGATTCACAATGCTATCCACATTCAATGGTAAATCATTTGTGTACATTATGCTTAAGAGGCATTTTTTCCTTATTCAATCTCATTTTAATTAGGTACCCTTGAATGATAACTGGTTTTGTAAAAATATATGGCAGCCTGTGTATATATAAAGAAGGATAACTGTATCAGTAAAGAGACTTTAAAGCAACTATACAGCTGTTAAAGAAAAAAACAACAACCAGAAAGTGCACTTACTAGAACCATTTATCAGCAGCAGTAGTTGCAGCAGTGCAAACAATGTAGGCCATGTAGCATGTGATGGATAGAATGAGACAACAACAAAATAAGCCCGCCATGATGCTGGTGGATTTCTTTATAATGAAATGATGACATGATCAATGAGGGGAAGGATACGATCAGTGCCAGGGAACAACACACTTCCCCTGATCATCTCTGCCACAATGCAGCCCACTGACCACACATCCACTGGGGTGGACACCAGGCAGACAAACGGGTGGACATGCAAATAAATAATAGAGAAAACAAATCTATGAAAACAGATAAAATGTGAAAATTAAAGGGAATGACAGAGGTGAAAAGATGAAAATGGAAGCCATTCTAAAATGTTCTGCATGAAAGAGAAAAAAGCCAGGGCCTTTTCTGCTACTGAGCAGAAAAAAACATAAATAAATGTGAAAAGAAATGACATCCTTGCTAGAATTTGCAGTATGCAACTACTTATCGGCGCTGAATTATCATTTTTTTGTATGTTCATATTTTTAATTAATGAAGAACCAAAAAAAACGTTAAAAAAAAAAATAAACTAAAAATAATAAGGAGAAAGCCTGCGAGGAACAGTAAAGACTTGAGTTGGAAACTTCAGCATACAGAAGGATACAGTCCCTTCCAGGGAAAAGGATTTTATGGCGCACCATTTCTGCCAGAATGCAGCCCACTGACCATATGTCCACTGAAAAGCGGACCACGTTAACCAATGCCAGTAAAAGTAGTGAGGAAGAATACATAGCAACAGGTTAGTTAACAAGTTACAGGCTTGTTAGTGAACATATATATAAAAAAACCTTTTCTCTAAAACAACAGTTTTAGTCACAAAAACATTCAGTTTAAGGTAAAGAAAGAATAATGAATGAATGTATTCATTCATTTCAATAATGCATAGCTATGATTCACTTCCAAAAAGAATGATGCCATTGAATGGACAGCAGATACCGTATTAAACCAATCACTCACCATTGGCCTGGTAGCCCATGCCAAGGATAACTTCTGGTGCTCTGTAGTAGCGTGTAACCACATATGGCGTCATCAGAAGGCCTGTGGCCGCTGTCCGAGCCAAGCCAAAGTCCAAAATCTTCAGTGTGCAATCAGACTTGACAACTATATTACTGGGCTTCAAATCCTACAAGGACATAGTTTAATTTTAATTTAAGAAAGGAGTTTGACAATCAAATAAAACAAAACAAATAACCCCCAAATAATCACTGGAATGTAAACTAATTTTAAAATATTTACAAGGCTTTTCGTTTCCATTATCAATATAAACCTGTGGATCAGGTTTACATTGATAACAGGGTTTAGGTCAAGACCTAACTCTTAAACAGCAAACACTCTGCTGCTGCTAAGTCCGGTGGAGAATCTATGATGCTGTGGGCCTGTTTTTAGGACCAAGGAAACCTTGTTTGAAGGCATGATGTCATGTCGATTCTATGGCATTTTTACTTTTGTACAAAAACCTTATGGCCTCTTCAGAAAACCTGAGAAATGTGCTATTGTTAGGTGTTTCAGGAAGACAATGATCCAAAGCATGTGGCCAATTCAACTCAGACATTTTTCTGAAAAAAAAAAGTAATATCCAGTTACAGATCTCTCTCACAGCATTAATATCTTCAGTATCTGAGCCCTAGATTTAATGTATCATCTACACATACTTAAAATTGTTTAAAGTTAAATGTTGAAACCTACTTAAAAGACGGGTTGGGTTTTTAAAAACTTCCAAGGTGTATGCTAATATATCTTGACCAGAGCTCATAATAATTATGAATGCAGTATCTGACATGAAGAGCTCCACACCGTGTTGTTTCTTTTTTTGGAAAACTGGGTTTGGATCAGGTGGACAGGGGAAAACTTAACTTAGATAGCCAATGTCCTTTATAGAGGATCTGCACTCCAAGTGCCCTTCTAGTTACTGATGCATATTGCAAAATGATGCACCCACCCGTCATTGTCAGCTTGGATGTTAGCATCAGCTGATATCAGCAACACAATCGCTGCAGGAAATTCTGTGGTGTTCAAGGGCATTTTGCTCTGATTTTAAGGCTCAGTCGGTTTGTGTTTAATCCATCTCTATTTTCAGCAGAGATCGTTACAATACTGAATGGCTATTTTACATTGTACATGGAGCTATCTAAATGCTTCTGTCACTAGTTAAAGAACTATATTCATCCAGTTATCCCGTAATCGTGCCAGTTGACTGTGTTCCCTTACACCTCAGTGTCAAGTATCACTGCAATTTTCCCAGCTCAGGACTTAACACTTCCAAACGTTGGCCTGCCTTCAGGCTGTGTATTCATCACCAGCTGCTGCTCACCCTGTGAATGATTCCAGCACCGTGGAGGTGTTTGATACCACACAGCATCTGATAGAGCAGATAGGACAGTCTCTCGTGGTCCAGCTCCATTTGAATCACCTGACACAGATTGGCATCCATCAGCTCCATCACCAAGTATCTGAGAGAACAGAAAAGGGTTTATGATCCTGGCAGGGAATCATTTTGGTAATACGTCATGATCTGATTCTGGTAACAACGCAGGCTATTTTTATTTACTTACACATCTTGGAAATCTTCTAACGATTTCTGTGGCGTGAACACATTTAATAGGCCAATGATCTTTAAAAAAAAATAAAACAAGGAAAATGGATTTAGTCATGCTATTATATAAATTTAAACATGTTTAGGGTGTATTAACACATATATTATACAAGTAAGGAAATATATTGCACACTTACATTTTTGTGATTGACACATTTCATTAGAACTAGTTCTCTGTATGCTCTCTTGGCATGGGTTTGGTTTTGAAAGGGTCGACTTAGCTTCTTGATGGCAACATTTCGTTCAAGGATTTGGTCATACGCAGAGCTGAAGGGCAAAGATAGCGAGAGAAATGCATCAAAAAGAGTGAAACAAATAAAAGTCTTTATGCCCATATGTCCAAAAAGAAATAAAAAGTAGAGCTGAATCATTCAGAATTGTGTATTGCCATTTTCCCCAACTGTAAAAAGTGTTTTTTTAAATAAAGATGCACCTTGCTCACTCAAAATACCATAAGGCTTTTCTGCCATGAAAAATAAATTACTTGTATTAGATTCAGCCTAACTGTGCCATTTTTGTAAAATGCCATTATATTTTTCTTAAAAATGAAGACAGAGTTCACGTTTTAATGGGATTCTAGCATGTTATATCCTTACCTTAACGTAGACTATAAAATGTTCGACATAATTTCTGTACTCCATTGAACCTTCCTGTTATCAGTTGAAAGTCTTGCTCTCTTTTTGCTTGAGTTAACTGCAGGCAGGTTGATATGTAGAAAATGTATGCTTTCTTTTAAACAGCTTTTTCACCAACTTCATTCTTAATACCTTACTGTTCTTAGAAAATAGCTAACCCATCATATACAAGTTTTTTTATAGCTAGCTCTAATCATCAAATACAAGTCATGAGCTGTTCATTTTTGGAGGGCATCTCTTATAAAGATTTACCTAATGCCATATTTATTAAGCTCACAAAAAATGGTATCTAATGGTTGTTGATCCTCACAATTTTTCTGCAATGTGTAGGAAAAGTTGAAATGTTATTTTGTCATAGCAGGTGTCAGCAGAATATGAACGATGGTGAATTACTCACCAGACGATTCCCTGTGCTCCAGATCCGATGGGTCTTAGATTTCGGTATCGCTTTAGTACTGTAAATGTTGAATCCCCAACATCTACGCTGTAGAACTCTCTGTCTCTCTTGTTTTTGTTCATGGCAAAGTCTTCAATTACTGCTTTCTGTGCATCCAGAAGTGTTCTCTGTGAAGAAGGAAACAGGACTGAGGATCCAGCAGAGCGAGACTGACACTACTGATACTGCAGGAGTTGCTGAGCAAATGGAGAAGTAACAAAAACACCAATAGAAGAAGAGATTCCTGCACTCAAAGAAACTATTCCGACCTTGCTGCCTTTCATGCTGATTCAAAGCAGTTTCCTTTCTCTGCAAATTCTGGAAACCCACATGGACAGAAGATTGGATGTCATCATTTGCAATGGCAGAATAGCAAGCTAAGAGCTCTGCTTCATCATACGCAAAAAAAGTACTGAGAGTGAATTCCTTGATGGAAAAATCAAGCTTTGATAATTGCTACGAGTCTAAAGTACAGCCAAAGACAAGTATAAAACACATTTCACTCTGAGCAAAGGCAGCTTGCATAAAACACCAAACAAATGTTTGTGCCAGTAGATTTGCTACTATTTGCAAAAAGGTTAAAATAAATAAAACTTTCAATTTCTTCAGTTGTTACATAAACAGTGCTCCAACCCTCCTCATTCTTCCACACTGCTGAGAGAAAGCCCATATGAGGGAAATAATTGCCAGAATGAAGTGAGTCAGCTCTCCTTCTGTTGCACCAACGTCACAAAGACGTCCATAACATCCACCTCCCTCGCAGAAATGAAAATAGAAAAGAAGCTTCTTTTTATAATACAGACAGGAAGACAGCTGTCCTTATAAGAGTTATGCTTGGATGGTTGCTTTCTCTTACAATATTACGATTATCAGTAAATAAAAATCAAGACACCGCAAAGAATCTTTCTGTGAGCCTGAGATGTTGCCATGAGATGAATTCCAACACACACACACATAAATGTTAATGGACTTGCTATAAGATGTAATGATTAAAAGAGCTATTTATTCCCCTAAATTAATTACACTTTTTCAGATTGTGTTTTTTCAAGCCAAGTTGCATACAGCCACATCAGAGGCCAGGCTCTGTAATACTGCACTTTAGTTTGATGTCCCAACAGAAACAAAAACAAACACACAGGGCCCTGCATGGGCTAGATATGGCAGCTTTTCACATCCCTCCTCTACACTAACCTTTTGAGCTGTTGCCATTATGCAGCTTTTATAAGCAGAACCAGAAAACTGCCACACACACTGCCATTTTCTGGTTCAAACAAACATGTTCAAGATTGTATTTCCTACATTAGTAAAGTTAGTTTATGTCCTGATTTTCTTCTGATTTTATCTGCTTGCTGGCTCCATTGCCTTATCTCTTTCACTATTACAGCAATATTATAAAGAAAATTCATTTCTATCAACGTTGCTGCACACTATTCAGGCCACCCAGAAAAGTGGTATATATATATATATATATATGAACAGATGTACAAGAGAGTCATTCTGTGGGCTTACTGTTTTAAACTCACTCAAGCCTACTTCTATATAGAAAACAGCTTAGTAAAACTGATTACTTGTAATAACTTTTAGAATAATTATTTTAAAGGCTATTATTCATGTGTATTTTTTAATATAAATTAAGATATCATCAGGGATTTGATATATATATATATATATATATATATATAGATATATATATATATATATATATATATATATATATATATATATAAAATCACAAAAATGTATAATCATAACACACATTCATTTCTTGACGGTTAAGATGGCTGATAATGAACAACTACAATTTTGCTTCAGACATGACTTATAAAGGGACTACAGCAGTTCCAGCTTGAAGCTATACATTATTAGAAAAAAAATTACCATATTGCAAGGACAAAACCTATGCATAATCTACAATTTCCTCACTACTCTTGTCCCTCACCATAAGCTCAAGCATCTTCTTCCCTAAAATCTATATCAAAAGGCTCAGAAATATTGCATTCAAGAATACTTTGACTGTGATAACATATAAGTCACAACTGTAAGGAGAATCTCTATTCCATATATTGTGTGGCTCTGCACGTTTGCATCTCCTACCTCATTTTTTCCTTCCACCCAACTTTCCATTAATATTCCGTGATACAAACACAAAGCCCCTTTAGCAGTGACCTTTAGAGGCTGCAGTGACCTTGTGGAAGGTGCCAATAACCATGCAACACCACATATTATGTGGCTATAACTGTTCACAAAGTGTTTATTATAAGAACGTGCGACATTTGAATTATTTTATCAAATATTATGAACCCAGCCAAAGGTAATGTTGCATCACTCCCTCAGGTAAAGGGAAAAGGAGCCCACTGAGTCACATTTGAGGTACATGATTGAAATGCGGCATCCGGAAACAGAGATGCCTGCTGAACTGATTCAAACAGATTAATCTGGGGCTGGACGCCACATAAACACATTATTATGGAGGACATAATGGCATCTGTAGCGCACTATGACAGTGCCGTCGGTGATGACTGTAGAGCCTGTGCCTAATCCAAACGCTGCATAGATGTATTTTTCTACATTGGCGGCAGTAATTATTAAGTTGGGGAAATACATGGAGCTGTAATACAAAGTAAGGGGCTGAAACAACATGCATGCAGCCATTTACGACCCTCCCCCCACGGCCCAAACAATGAGCAGGACTGTTTGGGGAGCCGAGGTGTGAATCCTCTTCTTACCTCTGTCATCAAACCAACAAGCGGCCGATCCGTTTCCAAAGCGGCTCCGGCGAGCGTCGAAACGATCCAGACCGACTTCACGTTTGTTTATGCCGCCGCTGAAGGATGGTTTATCCCGTCGTGGGGCTTAAAAATACGTGACCTCACCGATTTCATTGCCTACGTTTCAAACCCGGCTGCTACTGACAGGCCAGGACGCGCAGTGCGCACAACAGGGCATGCGTCCCAGTAGCGCGTCAGACATGGGCAGAGACACACCCACCGATCCTCCTCCTCCATGCACGCGTCCATCCTTCCGCTTGTCCATCTTTACAACAATGTTTTTGGTCTACTTCCGGTTGCTGCTTGATAGATAACATCACTTTATTATCTCTGCATCTGGAACAGTTTTAGTTTTTTTTTTCCTGTTTTTAGGTCTAATTGAGGAGGAGGGCGCATATTACCTCTGTTATGTTGTTGTTATAAGATCATTCTGATAAATAGGGGTGGTGAAATCCTTGTCAAAATATATAAAGACTATCTCATTAGAAAGTCAAATTATTTTATGGAATTGAATGGGATTTTATTTGACTGACAGACCAACAAAAAAATAGTGTATGCTATAGTGAATACATCTTTTTTGCATTTCTCAAAATATTTTACATATTTATCTGGTCTTCTTTGCATAATACCTCAGTCAGATGTAATGGAGAATGCATGTGAATAGAAATCTTTAATGGATTTAGGTCTGAACTTTAACTAGGTAGTTCTCAAATAAGTGTGATTTAATCTAATTTTATTGTAGCCTTTGTTGGGCCCATAACCCTGAAAAATGAACTTCAAGAACAGTCTCAGTTGTGTACAGCCTATGACTGCGTTTCTTCTAGAATTTTCCTTTATGAATCCATATCCATATTTCCATCAACTCTGCCTGTGGCAGAAAAGCATCCCCACAGCATGATGCTCTGAATATGCTGCATCACTGGGATGATGTATCCAAGGTGATCTTTAGGTTTTACTTTCCCTACCACAACACATGAAATGAGACACAGCACATTTAGGTTTCATTCCTGGATCTGAGGTGCTTTCCATGTAATAGGAAATAGCACATGAAATGAAATTTGACTTTTAAAGGTCATTGATGCATAACCATGGTAACTGCATTTGCAACAACCACAGACTGCTCTGTTAAATCCAATAGCGGTCCAGACATAGAATATATGAATTAACTAGGATAGCAAGAATATGGTATTATCACCTTATATTTGTTAAATAATGATCACTTGCATTGTGAGAAATTCATAATGCTAATAATTTAAAGTAAACATTCCTTTATTTAGAGTTAAGCTAACTAGCAACAAGAAAGGCAGTAATACACATTTAAGAGTTCTTTGCCAACTGCCAATATATCTGATGTTGATGAAGATATCGGAGGCTGCCATCAACACCTTTGTCGTGACTGTGACTGGCTGGATGTGCTCTCTTCATCCTCCGACATGGGAGCTGGCTCAGAGCTCGTCTGCCTGGCTGTGTGTTTCCTGGACAGGGCTGCCTTTTACAGCTGCCTTTTGTATCTCTGCTTCTGTCTGCTTGAACCCCAGCTGGCCTCGGCAGATGGCCGCTCACACTGAGCCTGGTTCTGCTGGACGTTTCTTCCTGTTAAAAGGGAGTTTTTACTCTCCACTGTCGCTACAAGCATGCTTGGTGTGATGGATTGCATTCGAGTCAATAAGTCAATGCAATCAACTTGTTTTCCTTAGATAGAAAACTTTGAATCAATTTGAATGCATGATCTGGTGAACTGTAAAGTGCCTTGAGATGATATATGTTTTGAAATTGTTGATTTTACGGTATGTTTTTTTTTTTATTTATGTCATTAAAGACAATCTGTAAAGTTAATGAAAAGAAGACAAATAAAAATAAAGCTTGTACTATTTTTAATTGCAATTTAAAACATTTACAAGATAAGAAGCTGTTTTTAATTTAACCTATGTATACAATAGATATTTAAGACATTTAATAAGTTAAATTGGTCTTAGTTAGTAAATAAGATTATGAGGGTGGGCTGCATCTTAGCGCAGTTTGTAGCAATAATGCCTTGCAGCAAAAAAATCCTGGGTTCCATTACCGGCCCAGAACTTTCTTTTCTGTGTTGGTTCTCTCCAGGTAAAACTCATGTTGCATAAATTTATAGCTTATTAGTTTCAGTTCCCTTTATAAAACAGTTCCTAAGCCACTACTTTCAATTCTAAATTGCTTGGAAAATCTTATCTTTTAAGACATACCACCAAAAGGAGAGATCGAGGAAGCAAAAGTAAAAATTTTAAACAACTAATCGTTTGAGGGTTTTATTTTCTAGTGCAGAGGTCTTCAACAGGGGGGTCGCGAATGTCTTTGTTAATTACTTTTTTTTATATTCCCTCCTGCAATTTTTTGCACTAATTAAAATGTCTTTAAATACACAT